CTTGAGGACTAAGGTGAGCCTGACCCAAGCCATGGTATTTTCAATTGCCTCATAGGCATGTGAAAGATGGACAATGAATAAGGAAGACCAAAGAAGAATTGATGGCTTGAATTATGGTGTTGGTGAATAATATTGAATATACTATGGGCTGCCAGAAAAATGAACAAATCTGTCTTGGAAGAAGTATAGCCAGAGTGCTCCTTAGAAGCAAGGATGGTGAGACTTCGTCTCACGTACTTTGGACACGTTATTCGGAGGGATCAGTCCCTGGAGAAGGACATCATGCTTATAAAGTAGAGGGTCACTGAAAAAGAGAAAGACCCTCAACAAGATGGATTGACACAGTGGCTGCAACAATGGGCTCAAACATAGCACCGATTGTGAGGATGGCGCAGGACTGGGCAGTTTCGTTCTGTTGTGCATGGGGTCCCTATGAGTCGGAAACGACTTGATGGCACCTAACAACAACAATGGCTAGTGATTGCAAGCTTTTGCTCATGCGTCTGTTAATGGCACCTAACGACAACAACAACGTTAACGTTCTTTGCTCATTTGTTCTAATTTTTTGTATATTTTGTGCAATATAATTAAGTACTATTACTAAATACAATTTGGTGGTTGAGCATAATCCACATCCACAAAGGAACCAAGGCACAAAGCGAATGAAGTGTTGTACCAGTCACTGTGCGTGCCCTGTGGGTGCTGCGCACATAGCCCTTTGGCACACGATGTTTGCCGAAGGCTGTTTGCTGCATCTGCAGCTCTCTGCTCCGACCCCCACCTAGGCCATTCTGGGAGTGCTGGGGAGTTAATTCTCATCAATGAAGGGTAAGAGTTGGTAGATAATACTCAGTGCCCTCTTCCCAGAGTCTCCCAGAGGCGCCCACGGTTCACCCTAACTTGCTCACTGAGCTCTCCCTGTGCAGGTTGCTTCCCTTCCCTGGGCCACTTCCCTACTTATCAACCAGTTTTTCTGGGCTCACCTTCCAAATAAACTACTTGCTCTTGAAGGCTTGTCTCAGAGTCAGCTTCTACAAGACCTAAAACTAAGGCACAGAATAAGACAAGGAGAAGCAAGAGGCCAAAGTTCTAAGCTATCGATTTGACTAAGTGCAAAGATATAAATAAAGGTTTTATCTGTTTCTTTCATATGGATTTAATCTGCTCATTTTCTCCAAGAAGAATTAATTACGTAACAGTGCATATAATTTGGAGCATGCTTAAAAGACAATGAGACATTTGTTACTTGTTAACTTAAACAATGTGGAAGGTAGATACTATTTTCAATAATCTTATATTTAAAAAAGTTAGGGAATACTTTTTCTCCCCAGGCAAATATTAGAAACCCAGAATAAAGCCCAGTGGCCCTTAGGATCTTATTCACTGAATGACAAAAATAAAAATGGTGGAGTCTCTGTTGGAATGGTGTTATGGATTGAATTCTGTCCCCCCAAAAGTTATGCTGAAGTCCCAACCCCTATACCCACAAATGTGACTCTGTTTGGCAAAGGGGGGTTTCTTCTGTTATGTTAATAATGTCTTACCAGAGTTAGATGAGTCCTAAACCTAATCACTTTTGAACGGTGTCTTACGAAAAGAGCAGAATAGTCAGAGACACACACAGGGGAAGACAGATGATATGTGAGGATCATCTACAAGCAAAGGAATGCCAAGGATTATTGGCAAACGCCAGAAACCAGTAGAGAGGCCCACAGAAGGAACTGACATGCCCAAGACCCTCACTGGGACGTCTAGACTCCAGAACTGTGAGAAGATAAATTCCTGTTCTTTAAAGCCACCCATTTGTGGTGTTTTCTGTTACAGCAGCACTAGGTAACTAAACAAACAAACAAAAACCCAAAGCTGTTACCGTCTAGTCAATTCTGCCTCATGACGACCCCACGTGTTACAGAATAGAACTGTTCCGTAGGGTTTTCTTGGCTGTAATCTTTACAGAAGCAGGTCACCAGGTCTTTCTTCCATGGCACCACTGGGTAGGTTTGAACTGCTGATCTTTCGATTAGTGGTCGAGCACAAACTGTTTGCGCCACCCAGGGACCAGGTAACTAAGACAGATGGTAACTGAAGTAAAATGTTCAGGGTACATATACTAAAATAAAATTACCTTTATCTTTTTTTCACTAAGGCATTAGGCAATCCAAACTAAGATAATAGCGTTGTTTCTGGCACCCCAGAGTGTGTCTAGAGATTGTGTGGCTAAAAATGTCATCTCAGAAATGGACATAACAACAAGCAGACTGTGATGAATGAAAAAGAATTCAGCAAAGGGAAGCCAGGGTAGGGGCAGTAGACACTGAGGCGATTCCTGCTGTTCTACCTGTGCAGACTCTTCCATTGGGGGCCAGGCGGAGTCCTGAGGACGGACACAGGCACCGCGGCCCTCCCTCTGTGTCTTCACAGCCGTATTGGCAGCTCGTCATGGCACATGTCCTAGAGTCTGAAAAAGTAGGCAAGCATTAGCCTTTTCCTCCAGAGCTGCTAGAAAGTGCTTCCCGAGGAGCTATCTCCAAACGCTAGGACATTAAATGTGACAGATGGGACTGCATTGTAGGATAAGCTTCATTGTCTAAGTCCCAAATGGAGGCCGTAGTCTGAATCTTGCCTGTGGTTCATTTTGTTGGCCAGTGCATTGAACTGGACCACCTTTCGGTAGGGCACACACCCCTCGGTTACGGAAGCCTGCAGCTCTCTCTCCTCGTGCACGTGCTCCAGTCACTCCTTTATGTCACCTGAATGGCCTCTCTAGGTTGAAATGCAACCTCTAATGTAGATTATCAACATGGGTAATTAGGGTAAAGCATCCATTCTAGAGAGCTCTCCAAAGAGTCACCGGAGTGATGAGACTTGGTCTTTAGCTGCCTGTATTAAAACATGGGGCAGATACAACTGATTGGCTGCCTGAAAGCCATTCTGGACCCCCTTTTCTCTTCCACTTCCCACCACTGAGGCTGGAAAGCCAGATACTTGTCTTCTTCTTAGCCTCCCTTGTGGCAAAGGGTAGTCATGTGACCCAGTTGTCGCCAGAGAGATATAAAGATAAGTCTGCTTAGGGGAGTGGAGCTTCTGGAAAAAAATATTTTGCTTCATGCTAAAAGGGACAAGCATGAAAGAGGTGTTTACTGGCATCACCTCTTTCCCCTTAGTCTTGCCTACCTTGAATATAGGTGTGATATGTGGAATGGGGGCAGCCATATTGTGACCATGAGGCCACAAGCATGAGAATAAAACTAATACCTTGAGGATGGCAGAGGTTGAGTCCTTGATGAGCTACTCTGGAACTCTCTGCCTCCAGCTTTTCTTTCTTTCTTTCTTTTTTTTTTTAATAACTTAGTTGGGTTCTTTTGGTCACTTGCTGAACATATCCTAATAGCTCACAGAAATGCATTTCCTTAGCAAGGGTCCAGCATGTGTGGATCAGAAGTGCACAGGCACTAAACAGCTCAAATGATTCCAGCCCGATGTCCACACCAGGGGAGCATGATGCATATACTCCCTCCATCCACCCCCTGCATAACATGCCAATCACTCAGCTGGACAAAAGAGATTGCAAGGAGCCAGGTGGAATAAAACCAGCCTCCAGTGGAGCGGTCCAGGGCTAGCGGGACTCTTTGAGCTCTAAACAGGGAGGCACAAGCAAATAGACAAAGAGGGTACAGGGGTAGAGACCCAAGTCAAGGTAATATAACAAACACCTACTGATGGTTATATTTCTAGGTTATTCCTTCTTCTCCTTAGTTTTCTTCTTTTAAAACAAATCTTCAAAATTAACCTAATTTTATCTTTCCATTTGGGGGACGATATCTTTTTTGGCGCCGATGAGGCTTTCATGGAATGTTTCAGAGACATCCATTAGCATATATCTTTTTTGAAAATTGTAAGTGATTACTATAAAAGCCTAGATATTGGTTCCCTTTGAGGGGAGGGGGAAGGTTCTGGCAAAGTTCTATTTGGTTGTGGTTACAAGGATGCTCGCCTTCTAAGAATTCATTAAGTTATGTATTTGTTCCATGTGGGTTTCTGTTTAATTTATAATAATGTTTTTTTCAAAAGACCCTGTGAGTGCCTGCTTTATCTCTTAAGCTTGCTTGCTAATGGAGGATCTGGATAACCGGTGGTGTTGGGGCCCTTGGCCAAGGAGGGACAGAACGAGGAGGAGCCAGTGGAGCGGTGAGCCGTGCACTAACTCGCCAAGATTTTATAACCGCTGGAAAGCCTGGGGTGGGCTAAAGTCCTCGCACTTGCCACCAGAGGAAGCTGGTCAAGTGGCAAAAGGCACGGGCTCTTTGGGCTCGTTAGGGAGTGTTGGGCAAAGGGGAGACCCTGGGTGGGTTAATACCCTCGTGCTCCGCTGCTAACCAAAAGGTTGGAGGTTCAAGTCCACCCAGAGGCACCTCAGAAGAAAGGCCTGGCCATTTACTTCTGAAAAATCACCCAAACCTGGTTCTGCGGTTCTACTTTGACACATATATGGGGTTTCCATGAGTCGGAGTTGACTGATGGCAACTGGGTTTTTTTTTTTTTTTTGCTGTGTAGAGAAAAGAGAGATGGGAGGGAGGAGGGGACAAGGGGAGGTAGGAGTGTGGGGTTGCCTTTCAGCTGCAACATAAAACCTGAAAAGCCTTCCCCCTCAACAAATGAATGGATAGAGACTCTCACCCTCCCACAGGACATGGGTTTTCTTGATCACAGAAGGGCTTTTCTTTTCAGGAATGTGAGTATCTCTGACAAGAGTCACCAGTCTTTGGGAGTGGGGCAGGGGGCGTGAGAAAGGTAGTCGGTGGGAAGAATTGATGTCCCTGCATGAGATTTATCACCTCCCTAAAACAATATGCTTAGTTTGTTCAACATGATGGTTTTCACGAGGAAACCCAACACATCTCTGATTTCATAGGTATATATACTCCCGTCCCCTCCATTTAGTCTCTTTATTTAAAAAGTAAGTGCCTGGAATAGCAAATCTATAGAGATAGAAAGCAGATTAGTGGTTTCTAGGGGCTGGGGTGAGGGGGGAATGGAGAGTGATTGCTTAATGGATATGGGGGTTTCCTTTTGGAGTGATGAAAATGTTCTGGAACTAGATAGTGGTGAAGGCTGCACAACATTGCCAATGTACTTACATGTCATAGGATTGCACAATTAAAATGGTAATGTTCACGGTATGTGTATTTTAAAAAGTGCCCAAAGATGTTTTAGCCTGAGGCAATATTAGAGATTTTTTTTTTTTAAAGCACCCAAGTCAACTTTCCCCGAAATATCAAATGGCCAATGCCAAACTGCCAACGTTGCCTGAGACCAGCCTGGCTGTTACTTACTCGCACATGTAGCATCTGGCATCAGCATGTAGCCACTGAGGCAGAAACACTTGTAGCTGCCGTGGGTGTTCACACATCTGTGTGGGCAGGGCCGAGGGCTGAAGCCACACTCATTCACATCTGCAGGGGTCAGTTAGAAAACAGAGAAAAGTGAACTGAATCGGGAACATGTGGATATGGAATACTGAACCTCAGTATTGCAAAGGACAACTGGGCTGGCTTCCCTGGATCCCACCTGTGAGGTCCTCTTCCTGACCATCATTAAGATTCCATTTTGAAGGGTTTGTGAGGATGTCATTATGGACTGAATGGTGTCCTCAAAAAGGTATGTTGAAGTCCTAACCCCAGTACCTGTGAACATGACCTTGTTTGGAAATACGGTCTTTGAAGATGTTCTCAGTTAGCATGAGGTCATACTGGATGTTATGGATTGAATTGTGTCCCCCAAAAATTTGTGTCAACTTGGCTAGGCCATGATTCCCAGTACTGTGTGATTGTCCACCATTTTGTCATCTGATGTGATTTTCCTATGTGTTGTAAAACCTACCTCTATGATGTTAATGAGGCAGGATTAGAGGCAGTTATGTTAATGAGGCAGGACTCCATCTACTAGATTGTGTCTTGAGTCAATCTCTTTTGAGATAGAAAAGAGAGAAGTGAGCAGAGAGATAGGGGGACCTCATACCACCAAGAAAGAAGCTTCAGGACTGCAGTGCATCCTTTGGACCCGGGGTCCCTGCGCTGAGAAGCTCCTAGACCAGGGGAAGATTGATGACGAGGACCTTTCCCCAGAACCGACAGAGTGAGAAAGCCTTTCTCTGGAGCTGGGACCCTGAATTCGAACTTCTAGCCTCCTAGACTGTGAGAGAATAAACTTCTGTTTGTTAAAGCTCTCCACTTGTGGTATTTCTGTTATAGCAGCACTAGATGACTAAGACACTGGAGTAGGGTGAGTCTTAATCCAATCTGAGCGCTTTCCTTACAGAAGAGGAGAACAGACACAGAGACACACTCCCAGGAAAACAGCCATGTGATGATGCATCTACAAGCCAGGGAATGCCAAGAAACTCCTGGGGCTACCAGAGCTGGAAAAGACAAGGAAGGATTGCCCCTAGAGCCTTCAGAGACAGCGTGGCCCTGCTGACACCCTAAATTTAGACACCTAGCCTCTGGAACTGTGAGAGAATAAATTTCTGTTGTTTAAAACCACTGACTTTATGGTATTTTGTGGTATTTTGCAGCCCTAGGAAATGAAGACAGATGGAGCAAATGGAATTATATACTGTTGGAGGAATTGTAAATTGGTGCAACCACTTTGGAAAACTGTTTGGCAGAATCTACTGAAGCTAGATATATACATACCCATGACCTACCAATTCCACTCCTGGGTACATACCCAGCAGAAATGTGGCTATATGCACACCAAAAGACACACACTGTAATGATCATAGCAGCACTATTCATAATCATTCCAAACTGGAAACAATCCAAATGTCTCCCATGAGAAGGATGGGCAAATGACTTGTCTATTCATGCAATGGAATGCTATATAGCAGTGAGCTACACACAATAATGGTGAGGGGAGGGGCCTGAGTGACTGGAAGAGAGTGTGAGGAGTCTTCTAGGGGTCTAACTTTCTGTTTTGTGATCTGGGGTATGGTTACATGGGTGTTTACTTTGTGAAAATTCATTCAGTTGTACTTTTTCTGACACGCACATTTCTGTGTATATCACACTTCGATTAAAAGTTAGGGCCAAACCATGTACATATTTCTGCCTGCCTTTAACGATAGCTGCCTACAGCACAGTCTCCCTTCAAGTGTGATTCTCTTGGATGGGCCCTGCACCCACTGAATGGCCCTTGTTGACACCCTTTAAGAAGGAGCCCTGGTGGTACAGTGGTTAAATGCTCAGCCGCCAACAAAAAGTCAGTGGTTTGAACCCACCAGCTGCCCCAGGGGAAAAAAAACCTGGTGATCTGCTCCCATAAAGGGTTTGTGAAAACCTGTTGGGCAGTTCTACTCTGTCTTGTAGGGTCACTATGAATCAGAATAGTCTCGACGGCACCCAAAAACAACACACCCTTTGAGAGGAGCCCTACCTCTGCCAGGCAGCTACTAACAGTGAGGTTGTAGGACTTTATTATTCTGATAATGTTGAATTTTACCTGAACTCTGTGATACTGGAAAACAGTGACGGTTAAAGAAATCCTCCTACCCTTTGAGTTCAGGAAAACGGCATATTGCAAATGACCATCCTTCCCATATGACTTAGATGAGACTCATGATGTCTCCTTGTCTACCTAGGACAAGGCCAGACCCAGACCCTCCAAATCCCCATTCCTTGCCTCATAAATGAGTAACTGAATTGCTTGTTCCCACTGATCAATCAGAAACAAAGTGCTTGTCAACCAAACTTTGATGAAGCTTCTCTCCTTCCTCCAAGTCTCTGAACTTCGGCCCACCCTCAGCTTGAGCCAACACACAACCCCGCATTCAGGGCCCCTCCCGGAGAACAGACTGGCCTCAGCACAAGACAGTCTCTGATTTACTATCCAATGATGTCACCCTCTCATCCCACTTCCCCACACCTGGGTTTTTTCTAGCTTTGTTTACTCTCCAAAACCAAACCCGCTGCTGTCAGAGTCGATTCCGACTCAACAGCGACCCTAAGGACAGAGTAGAACTGCCCCATAGAGTTTCCAAAGAGGGCCTGGGGGATCTGAACTGCCAACCTTTTGGTTAGCAGCCATAGCTCTTAACCACTATGACACGGGGGTTCCTGTTTACTCTCAGCCTCTATAAAAGAAAAATGCTTTTCCCCAAACCCTTGATATGCTTGCTAATCTATGGTCGGCCTGTTCTCTCTATTACAGTAGACCTCTCCCCCTATTGGAAGAGTGCCTTTCCCCCTTTTCTTTCCAAATAAAGCTTCTCCCTGTCAAATCCCAGGTAAAGATGTGTACAGGCTATTATTAAGTGCAGAAAGAAGGTTGCAAAACTATGTATACGGCTTGATCCTAAAATTATAAAAAATAAAAACACATAGAAAGGAAAAGCCTGGGAGGATGTGTTCTCAGTGCTGAGGATGGTTCTCTCCAGGTGGTCGGATTGAGGGTGACGTTCTTCTCTGTGCTTTTCAGTGTTTTCTAACACAAAATCTTAACATTAAGAATGAATAACTTTGCTAGTCCAGTCAAAAACCATACAGTATAGAAAATCGAACGTTAAAGGGAACGTGGTAGATGATTTTGTCCTGGGACATGTGGTCACTCAGAGGCCTAATATCTTAACTCCCCGAAGGAAGATATATGAAAAAAAAAAAAAGTTGCTGTGGAGTTGACCCCAACTCATAGCGACCCCATGTGTGTCAGAGTAGAACTGTGCTCCATAGGGTTTTCAATGGCTGATTTCTGCAGCAGTAGATGGCCAGGCCTTTCTTCTGAGGCGCCTCTGGGTGGACTCGAACCGCCAACCTTTCAGCTAGCAGCCGAGCGTGTTAACTGTTTGCACCACCCCGGGACTCCAAGGAAGATATACAGAGAAGAAAACAACCAAATTCCACGTAAGACAAGAATTCAGCATGCCAACAGGCAAAGCGGAGCCTTGAAAAATAAAGAAGTGGCTGCTGTCACCTCTGAAAGACTCCTTCTGTGGGAAGAGCTGGACACTGGAAATCCCTTTCTCCATTGCCTCTCCCCTCCCATCTCCCTCAAGGATCCTAACTGTCTCAAAAGGGGGATTGAAAAATGCTGATTGCACATAATGGCAAACCCAGGAATACCCCATCGCCTGGCCCTAACTCAGAGGTGACTCGTTAGTTTCTTGGAAGTAGCATTTTTTATGAAAGACATCAGTTGAGGGCTAGGGCCTGTGGCCATTAATGGCTAACCGTGAACTTGGATGAGGCTGCCACGTGGCAGGGAGGCTGGGGGGAAAGTCAGACAGCCCTGCAACTTGAGCCAACTGGGTCACTCCTGCAACGTTAATATTTTACTGCAACTTGAAAACTAGCATGAAAAATACTGCTCTTCCAACTCTCTTGAGAAGGTATCTTGATACGGAATCCAAAGCATATGGAAAAACAAGTTTTCTGGTGTGAACCCCTTGGTAAGGGATATGACTGAATTATTGCTTATGAGAGCACAATCTTGACACGCCTCTCACGCATTTGGACTCGGTTCTCAGAAGTACCTTAGGGACTCTGACCTCTATGCTCGTGGTAGGATGGAAGTGTCAGAGGTTCCTCTCTGAGGATGTGGGGCTGGCGGCTCAAAGAAAGGTGAGTTAGTGTATGAAGTTAACCTTGGGACCTGGAGTAAAGGGCTGGGGAGTGGGAGCTTGCGCCTTCTCTGAAACTCTGGCTCTCCCTTCTTCTAGAACCTGAGCAGCTTTGTTTAAGGGCAGTTGAACTTGATTTGCTGCTCTTGGCTCAACTTCATTATGGGACTGGGGATGCTTTTTTAAAATTATTGCAGGTTTCCTTATGCCAGGGTTTCCATATGCCAAAGTTTCTCAACCTTGGAACTATTGTCATTTTGGACCAGATCATTCTTTGTTGTTGGGGGCTGTCCTGTGCATTGTGGGATGTTTAGCAGCATCCCTGGTCCCTACCCAATAGATACCAGTAGCATACCAACAGGTAAAGTGGATCCTTGAAAAATAAAGAAGTGGCTGCTTTAACCAAATAATGACAAACAGAAATATCTCCAGAGAATGAAGAACACCAAAGACACAAGGAAAGCATTAGCCCAAGAGACAGAAAGGGCCACATAAAGCAGATACTTCATCAGCCTGAGACCAGAATAGCTAGATGGTGCTCGGCTACCACCAATGACCGCCCTGACAGGGAACACAACAGAGAGTCCCTGATGGAGCAGGAGAAAGGCGGGGTGCAGAACTCTAATTCTAGTAAGAAGACCAAACTTAAAGGTCTGTCTGAGACTGGAGGGACCCCAGAAAACATGGCCCCTGTATTCTCTATCAGCCCAGAACTAAAACAATTTCACAGTCCAACTCTTCAGACAGGGATTGGACTGGACTTTGGGACATAAAGTGATACTCATGAGGAGTGTGCCTCTTAGCTCAAGTAGATACAAGAGACTAAATGGGCAACTTCAGTCCAGAGGTGAGATGGGAAGGCAGAGAGGGTTGGGAGCTGGTTGAATGGAGACGGGAAATCTGGGGTGGAAAGGAGGAGTATGCTGTCACAGTATAGGCAGAGCAACTAGGGTCACATAACAATGTATGTATAAATTTTTGTATGAGACACTAACTTGAATTGTAAACTTTCATTTGAAGCACAATAAAAAAAAAACTCCAGATATTGCAAGTGTCCCCTGGGGGGCAAAATCACCCCAGTTGAGAGCCGCCAATCTACAGCAAGGACAAGACCTCTTGCTCTAATAAAGTATTTTTATTCACCATAATATTTACAGCAGAGTTTCTCAACCTCACAACTATTGATATTTGGATTTAGCAGCATCCCTGGCCTCTACCCACTAGATGCCAGTAGCACCCTCCTCCAAATGTCCTTAGACGTTGCCATATGCCCTCTGGAGCCCTGGTAGCACAGTGGTTAAGAGCTCCGCTGCTAACCAAAAAGTCGGCAGTTCAAATCCACCAGCTGATCCTTGGAAATCCTATGGGGCAATTCTACTCTGTCCTATAGGGTCGCTATAAGTTGGAATGGACTCAACAGCAACGAGTTTGGTTTTTTTAGATTATGTGCCCTGTGGGGTAAGGTTACTAGATTTAGCAAATAAAAATACAGGATGCCCAGTTAAATTTGAATTTCAGATAAACAGCTACTCCTTTTTTAGTATACTGTGTCCTTTGTGATGTTTAGGACATGCGTATACAAAAATGTTATTTGTTGTTTATCTAAAATTCAAACTTAACTGGGCATTCGTATTTTATCTGGCAACCCTTCCTGGGGGGAGGGGGCAAAATCAGCTGAGTTGAGAATCACTGTTCTTTTTGTTACTGTACTTTAGATGAAGGTTTACAGAACAAACTAGTTTCTTATGAAACAGTTAGTACATATATTGTTTTATGACATTGGTTAACAACCCCATGACATGTCAACACTCTCCCTTCTCGACCTTGAGTTCCCTGTTACCAGCTTTCCTGTCGCCTCCAGCCTTCTTCTAGTCCTTGTCCCTGGGCTGATGTGCCCCTTTAGTCTCATTTTGTTTTATAGGCCTTTCTAATCTTTGGCTGAAGGGTGAACCTCAGGAGTGACTTCATTACTGAGCTAAAGGGTGTCCAGGGGCCATACTCTCGGGATTTCTCCAGTCTCTGTCAGGCCAGTAAATCTGGTCTTTTTTTTGTGAGTTAGAATTTTGTTCTACATCCTTCTCCAGCTGTGTCCAGAACCCTCTGTTGTGATCCCGGTCAGAGCAGTCAGTGGTGGTAGCTGGGCACCATCTAGCTGTACTGGACTCAGTCTGGTGGAGGCCTTGGTAGCTG